ACAAGTAGGAGCCCCTAGACACCCTGTAGCCAGGCAGCCCCTGGTCAGGGCCCCTCCGCCCACTCTTGCCTCACATGGCCGTTACCAGCATTTGGGGTGCTGAGGGAGGGAATGGTTGAGGCCTTTGACTTCGACAACAGGAATTCCTGGAGCCTCAGTTTCACCTCTGTGCTGGCGATGGCACCTGCGGGGCAGGGCACAGCTGACCTAGCTGCTTGAGGCCAGGGCAGTGTGGGGTGGGCAGGAGCCCTGGGCCTTGCCCACAGCCTTACTCTCTTTGCTTTTCTCCTTGTTGCGCAGGATGAGCAGCTGCTGTTCCAGCCGCTGCTTCTCCAGCTCCTCCTGCCGCTGCTGCTCCCGCTGCCGCTGCTGTTCCAGCTCTTGTTGCCTCTTGGCTGCCAGCATCTCCTGCTGCTGCTGCAGGAACGCAGTGGGAGCGTTGAGCTAGACCCCGGGGCAGGGCTGCAGCTTTGGGTGGCCTGGCTCCCTTTGCTCACCTTGAGGTGCTTCTGCAGCTGAACTTCATGCTGCCGTGTCAGGTGGTCGTGCTGCTTCTGGAACTCAGCAAACAGGAGCTGCTTCTGCAGCTGCTGCTGCTGCTTGAGCACCAGGAGCTCCTGCTGCAGTTGCTGCTCCCGCAGTGCAGGATCCACAGGGCCGGCCAGAGCCCCCCGCAGCTCCACAGGGCTGGGGCTGCCTCCACCCCCTCCCCCAATGGGGCTGGGCATGGCTCCTGGCAGCACTGGTTTCACCTCCACTGTGGACACAAGACACACAAAGGGTCAGTGGGCCCAGACCCAGACCTTACTAGGTCCTGGCAGCCAGGCCTGGAACACAGAAGGCACCGGGTAGAATTATTAGACTCAGAATAGAGAGCGGGGGACAAAATCTCTCTGCCTACAGATGCTATCCTCCGCCTTCTTCAAATGACGCTAAAGCCATGAGTTTCAGTAAGAAAATATGCAGAAGGTCCGGGGATGGGGGGTTAGCTCAGTGGTAGAGCTTAGCATGCATGAGACCTTGGGTTTGATCCCCACTACCACAAACAAATGAACAAAAAAAATTTCAGGAGCGTGAAGAGTGGTAGTAGGCAGAATGAGTACCCAACATATAATACTGTCACTGATGGTAAACTGGGCATTTGACATAACTCACTTAAACTGCAAAGTCACTGGACTGGAGGTGTGGTTCAAATGGTAGAGCACCTGCTTTGCAAGTGTGAAGCCCTGAGTTCAAATCCCAGACCCACCAAAAAATTACCATAAACTGCAAAGCTACCTATGCCTTAGTTGCCATTATCACCTCCATTTTACAGATAAGGAAACTGAGCCTGAGAAAGGTTTGAGTAACTTAACCAGACACAGCCAGAGAACTGAAGAACCAAGATGCAAACACGAATCCTGCAATGTGCCTTCTCCTTGTCTCTTAACACTATGCCCCAGAGACTGAGGCTCACAGGTGGTTCTAGAACTGCTGGGCTGGCAGCCAGGGCCCTTGGTAAAACCAGGCCTGGGGAGGCTGTCTGACCATCCTGCCCTCTGCCTTTCTCTCTACCTGGTACCAGATGGGGCAAGAGGAAGAATAAGGTCTTGGAGGCAGGGTGGGAACAGGAGGCCTCTGGGAAAGGGGGTGCAGGGCTGCACCAAGCCAGGGACAGGAGGGGGCTGGAAGTCAGCCTGGCTTCCTTTGCTGGATTATCTCCTTTCAACAGTTTTATTGTAATTACCCTGAAAATGCCGCTATATATAGAGCGAGCCAAACAGCAGCTGTGTTGGAGGGAGGGGGTGAGAGAATGGGCGGGCAGGGAGGTGGGAGGAGGAGACAGGACAGGAAAGGGAATCAAACAGGAAGAAGGGTGAGGGCAGGGGGAGGGCTGGGGCTTCAACAGGGACCTTAGACTTCAGCCCCAGGGAGCACAGGACACACTGAGAAAGGGCAGAGCAGCAGAGGGTCCCAAAGCTTTTGAGGCCTTGGGTCCAGGACTCCATGCGGACAATGGGTTAAGGGGCCATAGAGAGCACAAAAGATTCCAATGGACTTATGGGAAAGCTGGGTCCTTGATCCTTGTACACTATCCTCTAGTCACTGAATGTCACTCCCCACCACTGCCCTGTGGTTGCTGGGGCAACTGGGCAAACACCACACTAGCAAGGAACCCCAAGCCCAGCCCACACCCTATGAAGTCTCCCGACGCCAGCAGGAAGGGGAAGGCAGCATACCGCTGCCTGGGAAGGAGGAAGCGAGAAAGACAGGGCCAGCCCATCTTGTTTCTTTTCCACTTTCTTCCCCCCAAAAAGTCCCACTTTCCTCACTACAGCTCAAGAAGACCACAAAGGGCTGGGAAGATGTTCCTGTGCCCAAGTGGCACACGGCATCCTAAGCAGAGAGAAGCTGGACCCAATATCCTGATGGCTGCCAGAGAACAGACCTCTCCCCAGGCACCCATGGCCATTCCATGTCAAGAGTGGGAAGAGTCTGGAGGAAGAGAGCTACAGGAGGCACCTATACCCTGTCCATAAGCCTGGCTTTCTCCAGGGAACCCAGCATCAAAAGGGGCATCACTGAGGCATGGGCAAGGCCAAGGCCATGCCACCCTCATGCCTAAATATGCCTCTCAGAGCCACTGGAGGCAAGGGTGGGGTGTGGAGGTGTAGCCTGAGCAGAATGTCTCTATTCCACTGCCCTTCCTCCCCTAGCACGGCTGGGCACATTCCTCTGTGGTTTCCCCATCAGCCGCACTGACGACTCTGTGGCCACCAGGCCAGAGCCACATCTGCAGGAGTGGCCAGATGTGGCGAAAGGGGTGGAGTTTTACACACAAACACTCTCTCTCTCTCTCTCTTCCTCTAAGCTCTGCCCTGCCCCAGTACCAGGAGAAAGGGCCCTTGAAAACTTCAGAGGGCCTTTCCATGGGGGACCAGCCCTTGTTCAGGGTGAAAAGCAGGGTGGCAGCTTTTCAGGTGGCCCTAGCCCCTGCAGCATTAGCAAGGCCCTAAGCTGGCTGTAGGGTTATCTGTACCTAGGCAAGGCTGGTTTGGCCCAGGGCACTCTGATCCTTCAGCCAAGGGGTGGACGGGCTTCAACCTGCTGTTCCCAGCAGTGCTGGGGCTGTGGAAGCCGGATGCCAGCTCGCCTGCCCAGGCAAGGGCAGGGGTCCAAGCGCTCCTGGCTCCCAGCAGACAACTCTGCCTCAGGCTGGCACTATGGCCAGCAGGGCTGGCTTCCCTTGAGGGAGCCGTGCAGAAAGCACAGGGCTCAGACCAGGGCAACCTTCTACTGCCAATGCTGGTGAGACGTTCAGCCCAGCACTGCGGTGACAGCCACAGCCCCACTGGTATGCAGGTGGCAAGGCAGCCAGAAGGCTATGCCACAGCCTTGTTCCCGTGCAAGCAAGACACACAGGCAACTGGAGAATGGTAATTTGCAGCCACATGCAGCGGTCCAGGGGGCTGTCAGGTAGCAAATGTTTCCATCCCAAATGGACATCAGGGAAAAGGAGACACGGAGTCCCCAGAATGTAGTCTGTCTGGCACAGAACCTATAGCCCTGTTGTAGGGGCCTAGCACCCCCTTGAGGATCTGTGCCCCCTGCCAGCTTGGTTTGAGCAAAGCAGGTGGCAGCAGCTGCCATCAAATCAAGCACCTGGAGGGGAAAGTAAGCGTGTCATGACTGGAAGAGGCTCTTGGTCACCTCCTGGTGGACCCAGAAGGGCAGGCAGAGAGGCACTGTTCCCTAAGGGTTGGGACCTCTAGGCAGTAAAGAGCCCAGAAAGGTCAAGAAACAAGGCCACATGGGAGGGCAAGCCCCTTGGTCCTTCCCTCCCCAACCAGGCCTCACTCTGACAGATGCAGAAAACTAAGAGGCCAGACAACTAACACCTGGTTCTCCTGTGAAGGGAAGAGGTAGGGTTCCAGGGACAGGCCCTGGCCACCCACCCTGCTCCACACTTACTCTTCCCAGTGGACTCACACCCTTCCTCCTCCTGGGAGTGGTGGCCTCAGGAACAAGCCACAACCTATCCTGTCCTCTGGCCTTGTGGCAGGGATGACCTGCACTGCCTCCATGAAGCAGCTCCAGCTTGAGCAATGGGGTGGGAGGGCTTCATGTCTCCAGCCACCAGAAAGGCCCTGCAGGTACCAAGCACTGGCTCAGAAGGGGCTTCCCTACCCAGCTCATGGGTACAATGAGGTCGTGGTGACACCTCAGTGAAACTTCCTTCCTAGCCAGCTGGGCCTTTCTCCTTCTCCCATGAACCCCATCAGCCTAGAGAAATTCCATGGCAGATTCTTCAGGTAGCATAAGACACAGCCTGGCTCTTATGTCCTATGGGGAAGATGATGCAGGGGCTGTTGGGGCAACTCCAGGACTACTACAAGAACTGCCTTACCCTAAAACCAGGGGGCAAGCTGGGTGGGGTAGTGCATCCTGTAATCCCAGCTACTCAGGAGGCTGAAGCCAGAGGACTGTGAATTCGAGGCCAGACAAAGCAATTTAGTGAAAGCCTGTCTCAAAAACCAACAAACATTCTGAGTGCTGGTGGCTCACGTCTGCAATCCTAGCTACTTGGGAGGCTGAAATAGGGAGAATCAAGGTTTGAGGCCAGCCTAGGAGGGAATTTGTGAGCCCCCGTCTCAACCAATACCTGTGGTGGCACATACCTGTCATCTCAAGCTACACTGGCAGCTGAGATGGTGAGGATCATGGATCCAGGGCAGCCTGGGCAAAAAAGTTTGCAGGACCCCATCTCAATGGAAAAAAGTTGGGATGGTGGCATATACCTGTCATCTTAGCTACAGCACAAAGTATAAAACAGGAGGATTGCAGTCCAGGATGGCCTGGGCAAAAATTGAGACTCAAGCTCCAAAATAATCAGAGCAAAGAGGTTGGAGGTGTGGCTCAAGTAGTAGAGTGCTTGAGTTCAAACCCCAGTACCACCTGCCTCCTCCCCCTCACCAAGAAATAATCATAAAAATAAAAACAGAGGCTCTGAGCAAAGGGACACAGCTTCCAAGCAGACATGGGGCTCTGGGCCACAAGGGCAGGTTTTGGCAGCACCTTTGGGAACAAGGGTTCAAAGTAAACAGGGCTAGCTGCCGAAGAGCAAGAGTAAGGTTGCTCTGAACACACACACCATAAGCCATGTCCTCACTCCACGCCCCCTCCTGGCAACATCACCAACTCAGACCCCTGGCCAGCAGGGAAAGGTACCTTTTGTTTCCCTGGAGAACCCCTGAAGCAGGCCAGTATGTGGACCCCTCTTACAGACCCAAGAGGCTTAGCAGAAGGCTCTAAAGACCCTGCTCCAGGAACCACCAGCCACTGAGGACTAAGGGAGAAGGGGACCCAGGATAGGGAACATTACGCTGTTTGTGACATTTACACAGGGCAGAAAAAAGGCTGCACAGACAATCCCTGGCTCTGAGGAGCCACCCTTCTTTGAACAGACAGGGTGAGAGGGCCCTTTGAGACCACTCTTCCAAGCCTCCACTGACACATAGAATTCTGATCCTGTAGCAGGAGATCTGAAGCCAGGTGGCCAGGTTCCCAGCATGGGTAGGATTCCCTGAACTCAAATGTGTGTAGCCTGGCTCCACTGAGAGCACAGGTGAGCAGCCCATCATCTTCTCCCAGCACCAGGGCCCTCCAGGCCTCCCTCACCAGGCTGGGCAGTCACCAGCTTCCTTAAACGTCTAATTACCTTGTTCTGTCCCTTGGAGAATGGGCAAAGGCTCCTGTCACTGTCCTGGCCTTGAGGGA